CCTGGAGATGAGGGAGGATTAAGATAGAGACTCCTGTGTTGTGGGGTGTGGGAGAGAGATCCCTGGGAGGGGAGGGGAGAACATGGGAGGAAGGGGCAGAGAATGCATACAGAGGGTTCTACTGAGCAAGGAGTTGGAGGGTTCTGGTCTGAGGAATAGGAGGCAAGACTGTCTGCTAGCAAAGGGAGAGCCCTGAGGGAGGTGGGTAGGGGTGGAGGCAGGTGGTGGGTTGGGGGGCCCAGAATGGTCCCACCAAGGTTGGCTGGCAGGCATCTTGGGGGGATCACCTGCTCACTGCTGTAGGATTGCTCTTGGTGGACAGAGTGGCTCCTCCTGGATGAGGCTGTGCCCAGGGTGTGGCCTTTGCACAGGTGCAAGGGATGGGCAGTGAGCTAATGCCAAACAGGGAGGGAGTGAAGAAAACAGGACCATGAAGGAGTAACTGAGCGGGGAGAGCAGGAGGCTTTAGTTAAGAAGGGGGATTAGAATATGAAAATGAATATATGAATGTGTATGTATGACTGAAACATTTTGCTGTATACCAGAAATCAATATAATGTTGTAAACTGACTATACTTGAATTTTAAAAAATGTGGGAAAAAAACCCCCAAAACAGAGGGGAATTTGAGGATTCAAGGTGACGACCAAGAGCAGTTCGAGGTGGCAATGGGGTTTGAGTTGGGTGGAGGCACTAACAGGTTGGAAAAGTCCCAGAGTTGGGAGACATGGGACTGAGGAGCTAGAGTTCTGGAGGCCAAGGCTGCCCAGGACGAGAAAGGATTTGCAGGCAGGTCAAGGAGACCACAATCCACACACTGAGGCAGAGTAAACGGGGTGTGACCAACTGACAAGGAAGCAGGTGGCAAGCGTGAGGGAGGGCAGGATCTTCCTCTCCCCGGGAGAGCTATGGGAAATGAGGCCACGGGGAATTCTACACATCTGTCCTCTGGGGAGTGTGTGTGAGAGCTGCCCCTGCCCTCTTGGCTCCTCGCAGGCCAGGTCAAGCCTTCAATAAACTCCTGGTAACCAGACCCAGAGCCAGAGGCAGTGAGGCTCCGTGTAGCCCAAACTGCCAACACGGTTGCTAGGGGACACCAGCCAGCGTTTGTTGGGCTGATCGCTGGATCATCAGTGCTGCAATTTTTTTGTCAGCTGTGAATAACTCCGGGAGGCTGCAGTGGTCATGCCTTCCCATGCCATCTGCCAGGGCTGAGGCCTATGGCTGAAATTTTAGGAAAGCACATCTTCTAGGCTGACCATAAAATGGGATTTCATGCTGGTGGCGGCAGCACGGCTCCAGCTCCTGCTTCTCTCAGCAAAATCCATGCCTAGCCTTGGGAAGCAAATCGGGGAGGATGCTGTGATTCCTGGACCCGAACAATGGGCTTGCCCTTTCGGTCTTCCCTGGAGCCTGCCCTCTAAGCAGCCCACCCTTCTAAGAGCCAGAGCAGCTTATTATCATCACTAGCAATGGAGGACAGTGTGCTAAGCTCCGTCCCCAATTTTTCCTGTGACTGAAGGTTACCTAGAGTCTTATTCCCATTTTATAGACAAGGAAACTGAAACTCAGAAGGTACAGAGCTGGGAAGTGCTGGGGCTCGATGCAGACTTAGGCTACCCACCGCCTCAGTCTCAACCCCTACCCTGCATCCCCAGTGGATCCAGCCCAAGCTGGCCTGGTGCCCAGTGACAGGCTGGACACTCTCAGCCGTTGGCACTAGGCCATGGTCAGAGACCAGGGCTGCTAGCCAGGCCGCCAAGTGTCATGGGCCTTTGCCGAAAGCCTCCCCCATGGCATAGTTCTAGGCTGTGTTCACTCACTCAAGCCACCAACGCATGGCCATGAAAGGCCCGAGGCTGGACCTGGAGGGGGTCAATTGGGCATATAGCTGTCTCTGACTTCCTCTCCTCAGCCTGCCAGGGCTGTGCACTCAGCTGGTGCCACGCCAGCCCAGCGTGGAGGCTGCGGGACAAGCAGCATTTTGACAGGAACCTCCTGAGCCCTAAGGACCTACAAAGACTTCAAGGCTGGCCCTGCCTCCTCTTCCTGGGAGAAGAGTGGGCCAACTCACACCTGACTTTGGAGAGCTCTGTTCCCCAACCAGAGGGGTCTGTGCAAAAGCTCTGGTTGCCCAGGAACCCCAGAGCTGCCTCAGCAGGTTTACTGGCATCCCAGCCCTTGACAGTCTCTGCCCTTGACACCACCTGTACCAGCTGACAATGGGGTTGAAAGGGTGGGGGACTGATATGGCCCGGAAATGTACAGAATAAGCCAACAACTCTCTGACAAACCATTCCCCACATTTAGGCCCCAATTCAACTCAACCCTAGAAAGCACACATTCCTCTAAGGTTTTCTTCATCTCTCTGAGCCCTAGCTTCCCCATATGCTCTTTAGGGATGGAAGTATCTACCTCTCATCTTTTTTTCCAGGAGGATGGTTAAATAGGTGAGTCCATCCTCTGACCTACCCACACAGCCTAGCCAGGGCGAGACGTGTGGGCTGACCAGCACAGACCAGGGAGGTGGGATGTGATGAGTCTTTTGGAAACAAAAGGAATGTAAATGCAGGCTGTCTGTTCTGGAGACCCTAAGGGTAAAGACTTGGGGGTGACCTGAGGACAACTGTGGAAGCAACTTTGGTCTCAGGAGGGTTTGTACTTGACAGCCCTGCCACATAAGACAGGAGGCTGGGCTGCCCAGGAAGTGGGAACTGCAATCTGGGTAGCCTTGCTCTCTGTCCTGGCTGGAGTCATGGACATCAGGGCAGATGAGTGGGGTGAAGAGGAGTGGAGAAGCTGGGTTCACGTTCAGAGCCTCCACCTCATGCCTCCCCTGCTCCCCTCTCTATAACATCTGCTGAGTTGCTTTAACCATTCTATAGACTTGCCAACTGAGAGACATCTAAGTGAAACAGCCCTCTCAAGTCACACAAAGTCCCCTCAATGCTTCCACCCAGGACTGTTTCCTAGCATGGCCTGGGGGGAGGATGGGCATGTGTGTCTGTGTCCACGGAGGACACCCTGACATGACCTCCCATACTCTGGAAACCTAGAACTGAATGTCCCAGAGAGGAGAGGCCTGAATAGCACCTGGGGTTCACAGGACTGTCTCAAGGATCTAGAACACCCTGCTTCACCGTTGGGTTGCCCCCAACTTGAGGGAGGCCCGGGAGGGGGGCCAGAAAAGCCAAGTTTGAGGGCTATTCTACAAAAGGCAGGACCCACTCACCATTCTGGGAGGAGCAGGAGGGATTAGAGGCTTTGAGGGGCCTCTATGCTCTAGGAAGGTCCTCAACCTCCACAGCCCAGCCCCAAACCATGGAGTGTGCACACCTTCCTCATCTCGCTCAGCCCCCACAGCTATGGCCCAGCACCAAGGCAAGATCACCTGCCTCCCTGTACACAGCTGAGGGGTTTTGGCCAACCCACTCACTCCATCCAGGCCCTGTGATTCCACCTCCTGGATGAGGGTTTAGAAGTGGCAGCCACAGCAGGACAGTCCCTGCTTAAAATGCTTCTGCAGCTTCCAGACACACTTTGGTCCACCCATCCAACCCCATCCTTCTTCCCACACAAGCAGCTGCTGGTCTCCAGGCCACCCTCACATCCTTGTGCCTCTGTTCACAATGTTCCCTCTATACAGCCCTCCTCCACCCCTCGGGAACTGTGTTCACAACTCTCCTCCCTGCTTTGGCCCAGCACATGCTTGTTGGGCTGATTCAACTAGCTTGTGATTCCCACTTCCTCCCCTGCCTCCGATTCTAAGTAAAGTTCATGTGCTGGGACCAGGCAGGGCCCGCAGAGACCACTAGCAGTTAGAAGCCTGGGTCCCTGTCCTGGCTCTGCTGTCTCCCATCCCCACAGGCCCTCACCCTTCACCAGGTCTGCAAAAGGGTTGGGACAAGAGGCACTCAAGAGACCTGAGAGCTGGAACCTCCCTTGTTCTGCAAAGAATCAATGACCTGAGACCCGGAGGCCCTCAGTGCCCTGGCTGGTGCTCAGTTCGAATCCTGGTGCACCAGGGCTGCTCTAGGGCAGTGAATCAGGGGTGGAAAGGCCTCCTGGGATGCCCACCTGGCAGGCAGCTGGGCGGGTGGCAGGGGCACTCACCCTCTCCAGGTCCTGTCGCAGGTGTGTGAAGAGCTTCAGGCGGCGGTAGAGGACGTCCTGCTCCTGCTGGGCCAGGTTGTCCACCTCGTCAGTCTTGGGCGTTAGAAGCGGCTGGTTGGCATTGGCTTTCCTCTTCAGCTTCCAGTACTGGTAGATGAAGTCGACCAGCGCCTCAGCCAGGTCCAGGCGCTCAGCCACCTCGGCTGGCTCCACCAGCTCGTAGAAGTCTTCCTCCAGCTGCTGCAGCCGCTGCTTGCGTAGGGTCACCTTCTCCATGTCCTCGCTGGCTGGGCTGGTCTCCGCAGGCTCAGAAGTGGTTTCACCCCGTGGGCACCCATCACTGTGCTCCTGGCAGAACGACTTGAACTTGACCTCGTCATTGTCTGCTAATATAGTCCGCATTTCCAGGCTGTGGTCAAAGGCGCATGTGACATGGAATGCTGTGACGCAGGAAGGCATGGAACACTGGAGGGAGAGCAAGGGCAGTGTCAGGTAGGAAGGGAGCCCTGGTGGGAGGGAAGAAGGAAGGGGGGCTCCATCTCCCAGGGTTACACTGAGAATGCAGAACGCCGGTGAGACCCTAGACAAAATGGCATGGCCTCCCAACATCCTGCAGAGTGTGGAGAGAGCTAGAGCAGGTGGGAAGGGGGCGCTCTCAGGGAGCTGGAAAGGAAATGGGGTTCAGCACCACATCCCGTGGGGAAGTCAACAGATGACTGAACAAACTCTCTGGGGACAAGCTGCATTTCTGTGTGGGCGAGTGACTTTGGAATCAGAGGCATCAAAAGAAAAAGGCTGTTGATGGGTCCCTGCCTCCTGTACTCCTGCAACGTTATCCAAGATGGGGGGTTATGCCTCTTCTTTGTTCTCCAGGAAGAGGGGCTGGAGTTAGGTCCCTTCCTTCTTTTCTTGTCCAGGCACCATGGACCAACTCAGGGCCTAAGTTGCCTGGAATGATGGCTGTGCGCAGCTGACAACTGTTTCAAGCAATAACCCACCCAAATATTAGTGACCATTTATGCTGCACTCAAAAGCAATCTTACAAATGGGTGGAGGCAAATCTAGTGTTTGCAATGACAACTGTTCCTGGAGAGAAAGGATGACCCTCCCACCTCCCAGCCTATAGACCAGTAGCCTCAGGATCACATGGGAATTTGCTAGAAATATGCAAATTCTTATCCCCACTCCAGATCTACTCAATCAGGACCTCTGGGGGTAGACTCAGCAAACTGTGTTTTACCAAGTCCTCTGGGTGATGCTGATACCCAGGGAACTGCTGTTATCAACAGACTAACACAGCCCAGCCCTGTGCAGGGAGAGCCCGATAGCTTAGCTGGAGGCAAAGTTGATTCCTACCCCTCCACATGTCAAGTTTGATGTCAGAAGTGAGGTCAATGTATTTATTAAGCCCAAAGACACTCTTAGGGAGTGCCAGAGTCCTCAGCACTGCAACAGGGTGGTGAGCCTGGCTCCTGAGGCCCGTACCCCGTGCCTAGAAGAACTCGGAATGGAGGAATGCCGGTCGGATAGGGTTCTGACTCTGGTCCCAGTCCCAGGCCCGTAAGTGGTTCTATCCATAGCACCATGGGAGCATGTGGAGGGTGGTGGCAGTAGCCTGCTTTATAGGGTGTCCCAGGCGTGCCCCTCTGTGTAGCTGGCTCTTGCATGGGCTCCCAGGCAGTGGTGGGGTGAAGGGGCTGTGTACCTGGATGCAGGTGCCTGTGCACTCCTTGCAGAGGCTGCAGGACAGAGCCCAGCGGCTGGCTGGGATATGCGAGATCTTGGTGATGGGCTCCATCTTCTCGGGGCACCCGATGCTGACCTGGGCAGGATACAGGGAGCTGCATCAGGCCTCTCATCCCCAGCCTGCCTCCAAGGATCTGCCAAATTGGGGGCTGTCTGCGGAAACCAGGCAGTGGGCACACAGGGCATTGGGAGAGTACCAAGTCCTTCCTGACTTCTCAAGTTGACCACTGAGTGCGTGTTTGTGTGAGCTCACCAGTGGCAAGGCTTAAATTGTGACTGGGAAGTGCACATTAGTGCATGTAACTGACTGGAGGGTGTGCCTGTGACCGTGTGGGACTCAAGACAAAGATGCTTCCACATGCATGCGTAAAAGAGTCCTCCCTCTTCTGGCCTTTGTTAGCAGCATCTTCAGAGTTCTTACTGTAACTTGTGTTTTACTTACTTTGCTGGGTGGCAACTATAGACCCCCAAGGCAGGATTTCTACTTGGGAGCCTCCAGGGCTTTCCTAACGTGCCTTTGTTTAGCCCCTCCTATGGGAACAGGCTTATAACCACACCTGCTTCCTGAGTACAGCCCACCCCTCAGGCCCAGAGGAAGGATACATTGGCCTTCCCACTGCCCATGCCTGAGGAAGGAAAGGGCCCCTGTCCAGAGGTCTGAACCAAAGGGCCGCCATGGAAGATCCTTGTTGGTTCTTTATGTCTCTGCTGTGCTCAGCCTAGACTACACTCAGAGGCAGTCCCAGCCTTCAAGATGCTGACGTGGGAACCAGTGACTACTGCTGACATAACCACTATGATCACACAAGCCTGTGAAGTGGGTCCCAGCAAGGATTTTCAGATTGCAAGCCCAGGAAGGGGAGGGGCCACCTGCTGACAGGGCCACCTGGCTTGCTTCTGGGAACAGGCAGCACTCGAGTGGGGCCTCATTCTAGGTCAGGGCACACAGCAGGGCTGCGGCTGACACTCCAGCAAATGTCAGCATTTCTCATTTCAAATATAATGGGAGCCCAGAGCCTCTGCATACTCACTGTGGGCCCCGCCCACTGCGCAAGGTCCTTCCCCACCTGAACTCAGACCCAGGCGCACCCCTCCATCCCAGCCACAGCTCCACTATCAAACTTTTAATCAGGCTCCCCGACTGATTTCCTTTTAGGTCATTTGGCTTGTTTTTGTTTTAAATGAACACCTGACTTTGGTTGGGACCACTGCCCAAATTTGGCTAGACCCACAACCTGCTTTCCACATAGTCAGCTGCCTGACCTCCGTCCAGCTCTCACACCCACCACCTGGATTCCCCCAGTGGCTCAGAATCCCATTTTCTCATGAAAACCACCACCTGAGTTCTGCCCAAGTCCACAGGTAAATTCCCTGTGGGCTGCTTCCCGAGTTCTTCCCAGTCTCACCACCTGAGATCCCCAACTTAATGTGGTCCATCACCTTCTTTTCCCAGTGCTCTGCCACCTGCGTTCTGTTCAGACCCACTTCCCCACGGCTGTGCCCCGGAGCTGCCCCACTCCCACAGCTGCCCACCTCAGGAATCCACAGAGCGCAGCTGACGTGCACCCACTTGGTCCCACTTCTAGTGGGCTTCAAGGCTCCTCCTCGCTTGGGGCAGAGCAGGCACTTTGGCTGGACACCCAGGGCACACGTCCGGCACAGCCAGCTGCCTGTGGGCACCTTGAGGATCCCGTAGCATGCCTGGGGAGAGAGCAGGGTGGTCTCAGGTCAGAGGCATTGACCAATCTGCATCTGGTTAGCATTCAGCTGCAAATGGTCCCACCTCAGTCTGAGCTAGGAGCTCAGCAGTATGAGGTGAGTGACACAGCTACTCATCTCCTGAGCTCTTGAGAAGCTCCTTGCCTATGTTGTGCACTGAAATGTCACATGTTCCAGTCCTCTGTGAAAGGGCTAAGCTCTGCCCTCTTCTGGGAGGACAGTCACTGATCAGAGCTTCCTGATCAGTATCATGAACGCCCTTAAACTGAATACAAACTTGGGGATGTACACTGCCTGAGGACAAGGCCCAGAGCTTTCATCTTTCTTCACAGTGAGCAGGGATCCTTCTGGGCATCCTGAGGGCTTCTGGATCTAACAACTGCTGGGTGTAAGGGATGTGGATGAATGAGGAGGGTGCTACACTGCCTACCCACCTGCCAGCTGGGGGAAGCCCCTCTGAGCTCCACAGGTGCTATTCCAGCAGAAGTGGGTAAGGGAGGGCCTCAAAGTCAGGGCCAGAGTGGGTCCACTGAGTTCCAGTCAGGTCTGCTACACCTACAAACAAGGCCCAGAGATGCCCAAGACCCAGAGCCTTGGGGCTCAAGATTAAGAGTCAGGCCGCACTCAGTTTATGATACCAATATTAGTAACAAACATGTACAGCCCTTACTATACTGTTCTAACCCAAGACTCATAGCAAGGAACTTAATCCTTACTTAGAATTTACTCCTTAAGACTTAAGACTCATAGTAAGGAACTTAATCTTTACTTAAAACTTAACTTTACTTATACCTGAGGAAAAAGAGGCTCAGAGAGGTTAAGAAACATGCCCAAAGCCACACAGCTTGTAGAGGCAGAGCCATCATTTGAAACCAGGCAGCCTGGCTCCATGCTTTGCTCTCAACCACTACACTGTGCTGTCTCTTTGTAAGTTCAGGATGGTGAGGCGCAGAGGAGGAGGGATGGGTAGGGTGTTCTGTGGGGAAAGTGAGGGAGGCCGACGGGAGAGGACAGAAGGACCATCCAATGGGTGTTTACTCAAGTCTGGAGGAGGGGGCTGAACCAAGGGACCCTGGGTGTTCCTGGCACCATGGGCACTCACACCACTCCCTTCCTCCCCCCTTGCCCTCCTTCCTAGGGGCTGTGCCACAGTTTTGCTGCACCCCTACAGCCGGGATAACCAGCTGCAGGCGGGGGCCTGCCCACACAGCATGAGTACAGGGTGGTGTTGGAGTAGGGGGGGCTGCCCACCTGGTGCACGCAGACATTACATTTGTCACAGAAGACCATTTCGTTGCCATCTTCACCCTCGGGGGAGCGGCACACATCACAGACGACGTCCTCATCATACTCGATGCCCAGCCCCTCCTGTGTCTCGATGGCCCGCGCCATATTCTGGTGGCACAGCGTCTCTAGCTCCTCCAGCACACGCTCTAGGGTCAGTTCGTCCAGCTCTGGCCTCTCTGTGAGGACAGCAGAGGTGGGTGTTAGGAGCCTGATCTTTCAGGAGAGACGTACTCACCCATCCACTGTGTGCAATGTCTTGGGCCCCAGCTCCATCGTCTAAAAGCTGACTGGGTTGGACCAAGCAATCTCAAAGGCCCCTGGGGCCTGGTGTTCTGACTTTAGACCCTGCTTACATACACACAGATATTATGGAAGTGTCTCCGGGATGCAGCCAGCTCCATGGGAAACCCACTGCTCAAGCTGTGTGAATGGGGGGACCACAGAAGGTGGCTGAATATGACAGAGCTGGCCCTTCCTGGGGCATGGTGGGCAGCAGCCAGAAGGCCCATACCAACTGACCCCAGCCCCACTTGTCATCCGAGACTCCTAGTGCTCACTCACTCTTCATGTAACAATCACACTAACTACAATACTCTCGTGTAAATGATATGCTATTACAGCCTTCACCCGAGAGCTACAAAAACTGAAGCACAGAGATCAGTAATGCAGCAGACTTTCCCCCCAGATCCATGCAGTGCCAAAGCCCAGTGGTGGCCACTGTCATTTTGAGGGTGAGGATGCTGGGGTTCCAAAGAAAACCATCCCTGGCCCGCCCTATCCCAGTCTCAGCTGGTGGGTCACCTACCCATCTCCTTGAGCTCCGAGTTAATGAGCTCCAGCCAATAGGCGTCAATCTCGTCCAGGTCATAACGGCTGCCCCCTGGCCAATCAGGTTGAGAGCCCTCACCAAGGTCAGAGCTGCTAGGGGACACCTGGGTAGGGGGGCCTTCCAATGGCGGGAGAATCCTAGAAAATCAAGAGAGAGTGTTGTGACAGGGGTGTCCTCATACTGCTACCCTCGCTGGGTCCGGGGGCCTCCAGTGAGTTGGCCAGCCTGGATGAGGAGCTAGTGGGCAAGTGAGGTGTGAGACTTTGATGCCAAGCAGGGCCCGCCTCCTTCCATTCCCTCCTTACACTTTCCTCCTCCCACATGCCCACCCTGCAGAGGCGTAAGGGGCAGTCCAAGTGCTGTCTGGGCAATGCCGGTGCCAGCCACTTTGGGACAAGAGGAGTAGAGCCAGCTGGCCTCCAGGTCCTTCAATATACCCCTCAAAGCTGGGAAGGGGCCAGAGCCTGTCCCCATGCCCTCACAAGCCTTGGCCCCTCTTCCACCAGTAATCTCAGGGGTGACGAGGAGCCCTACTTGGTTACACTGTTGTGGCTAACACGGCCCCTTTTGGATAAAAGGTGTACTGCCACAGAGGACAGAGTCCTGCCCACACACCTTATCCTTCCCCCGAATAAATGTTACCTGAGTCTCTCACTATAGTGTCATTCCCCCACCCTCCAAAGATCAAGGCCTCCTCCCTGGAGACAAAGATGCACCTGCTACAATCCCAGGGTGACATCCCAGGTCAGCCCTCCTTCAGGCCATGGCTCTGCCTCTGAGGCGGCCTGGAAGGGCCCTGGCTTCAGCACGAGGTCTCTAAACTCAGCTCCACCACTTAATGCGTGACGCTGAGTAAGCCACGTAACTTCTCTGTGCCCCAGTGAGTTTATACAAAAAATGGGCTAATAATAATATGATCTACCTTTTACAGCTGGCATGAGGATTAAATGAATGAATACATGTAGAGCTCTTAGAATTGTGCCTGGCACACAGTAAGCACTACATGAGTGTGAGTGTGTATTTTAAGCCTGTGGATATCACTTTGCTCCTTCTGAAATGGAATATGAGGCTTTTTTTGCCTTGGGAGGGCACAGTTTCCTCTCTTGGCTCAGCTGTGTGCTGCCCCTCAATTCCTGATGCCAGTTCAGAATGCCAGCTCTTCCCACCCCCTACCAGTTGCTATGGTTATTGCTGTGGAGCCTGGCCTCCATCTGGCCAGCCCTGCCAGGGTTGAGAGGCCCCTTACTTGCCTGAGAGGCCTCCTGGGGTCGGAGGCAGGGCTGCCAGAGGCTGTGACTCAGCGCAGACTAGGGAGGGGGAGGCAAGGCTCTGAACGCACAGAGACATGGCACAGCTGTGGTGAGGGCTCTTGGGCTCCAGGAAATGCCCTGCATGTCAGCAAGAGGGGCAAGAAGGATGGAGACAGGGAGGTGGAATGGCCTCCAGGTCAGGAGGGAGGCCCACAGGAGATTGAGGGAGACAAAGAGAAAGGGAAAGGGCTTGCATGGTACCACCTTTGTCACACACAAAATGCACAGGTTACAGAAGGTGTTAGATAATGATAATGCCATGATAACCACCTCCCCGGCCCCTGCCTGCCAAAGTCATTTCAAATAGAAGCACAGCTAATACACTTAGTCCTACAAAATTCTGCCTTTCCTCATGAGGCTCTTATTTGAATTAATACATTCTTTTAAAAACATTGTACTTTGGGGTGGGGGTAGGTAATTATGTTTATTTATTTATTTTTTAAATGGAGGTACAGGGGATTGAACCCAGCACCTTGTGCATGCTAAATACGCACTCTACCACGGAGCTGTACCCTCCCTGCTAAAAATACTATAATTCTGTCACGACCTTGCTTTGTGCCCTGAACGTGTGCTTAGCTGGGGTGTTAGATAACCCCTATCCAAATGTCCACCACCTATCGGCATAACTACCCACGTTTGTGTGCTCAGTCAGCTGCCACCTGGTCAGACCTCTGGGGGCCAAGATCACATTCCTTTCTCTGGGAAACTGGGGCTAAAGGGCTCAAAACAGAAAAGGCATTTCCTGTGCCTGCTGAGGCTCTCATCTTCATCTGTTTGGCCTCTTCCAGCTCTGACTATGGAGGAAACTCTCCTGCCAGGCGTGAACTGGCCTCACCTTAGGCCAGGGCCTCAGTCTCGGCTGCAGCCAGTAGGAATGAGGTCAGCTGGGAGGAGGTGGATGGGTGCGCTGGGATCTGGAGAAGAGGAGGGATCTATATTCCAGAAGACCAGATAGACACCAGAGGTTGGTTTTGCTGAGCTGAGTCTTTTGGCCACACTAAGGGTGCAGTGCAGGCCCTCCCTTAATTCATGATCTGAGGGTGAGAGGTTCTCATTATCCAGAGAAGTATCAGATCATGAGGTGGGCAGACCTGCCCAAGGGCCAGGGAGGAGTGGGCAAGGTGAGAGGGATGGAGGGGGCCAGGGTAGCAGCTGGGGGAGGGCAGTCAGAGTCAGCATGCCAGGGTGATCAGGGCACAAGACTTTCTTTGGGCCACACAGGGGCAACCCAAGGCTTGTTCCCGTGGCTCATAATTTCCTGGCCCAGCCCACGAAGCCCTGGCGGTCACGCAGGGAATTCCCCAGAATTTCCCGACTTCCTCATCTACAAAATGGGGACGGTAACATGCCCCGTAGAGGGCTAATATGATAATTAAATGAGAAGATGAACACATCAGGCCCAGCAGAACAAGGTCTCAGGAACGCAGCTCCTATAACCATTCTGACTGTGGCGGCTGCCACACTGGCTTCCTGATGGGGGCTGTGTAGCAGACGGTGCCCCAGGAGACGGAGGGACCAGGCTGGAGGTGGGTGAGGAAAAAGGGGCATGGAGATTCTTCCAAGAGAGCACCCCTCCCTCCTCCAGGTTATCCTCTCCCAAGAGCGTGGGCCCTGTCAGCTTAGAGCAGCCATGCGTATGCAGGGAATGCACCTAGCAGAGCCAGAGCTGTCTGAACACGTGCTCTCTTCTTGATGTCAACAGATAAAGCACCAACTGAAGCCAAGCTACTGGTGTGGAGGCATCTGCAATTAATTACCCAGGAACCACCTGATGCTGACATCAAGGAGAGAGGACAGAGTACCAGGCCAAGCCTAATCAGGACTCACTTCTCTCTGCCCAGCTGGTGGCCCACCCCTCTGTCTTGTCTTCCTGGGCCCTTGGCATACAAATTCTCATTTAATCCACACCACCACAGTATCAGGCATGTACTATTATTAGCCCCATTTTACGGAGGAGGAAACAGGCTCAAAGAAGTCAGTAACAGGTCTTCAGTCTGCAGAGGTGAGAATGTGAAACTGGCTAGGAGCTTGACCCACATTTCTGGCCCTGGGCAGGGGATGTGGAGGACAAATTCTTTCTCCAAATCCTGCATATGCTCCCATTCCCAAGAGGTCTGGAGCTTCCCTAATTCTCAGAGAGCCACAGACAGGAGCTGGTAGGCACTCAGCCCTCGGGAGCCCAGGAAGATGAGCACTGCCCTACACCCAGTCCTCACTGAGCACCCATGGGGCTTGGAGTCTGTCTGGCCTCTGTAATTGCTTGCCCAGATCAGGGCTGACACCAGATGGGCACTGGGTGCTTGTGAGCCAGTCATAGGTGTGGCTGCCAGGAAGCATCAGTGCCAATGTCAAAGGAGGTGACTGCTGAGATCTTTGCCCCAGGCCTGGTCAAAGTGGGCCTCAGCAAGAGCCATGGGGCTGCCAAGGCCAGGAATGGACTGCCAATAACACAAGCTAACCAGGCCAGCGGGCTAGTGGGCAGGGGTGACCAGGACAGCAGGCCCCTCTGTCTGAGACATGACTTGGAGGGTTTCCCAGGGTGCAGAAAGCAGCATTTGACTGAACTCTGTCACCAGAGGCCTGGCCCACAGCCACAAGACCGCCTCCTCACAAGAGCACCAGGGGTCTCTCTGACCTACAAGATCAGAAGGCTACAGAACCCAGAGAGGACTAATCCCTGACCCAACCCTCACCCAGCCCTGGCAGGGGGGCCTCCTCAAAGGCTGGTCATAGCAACAGCTTCCTGAGCATCTGATGTGTATGCCAGATACTCAATTCCCTCCCATTTACAACTCCTTTAAAAGGTTTAAGAAGTCAAGAGCATGGCTTATCCCCATCTTAAAGAGTAGTTAAAAGCCTGGAGAGTTCCCTGATGAGATCCTCTGGTGGGACACAGTTTGGATCACAATCAAGCTAATTCATGGCCAGTTTTCACTGAGTGCTCACGTGTGCCAGGTCCTGTGCCCAGGGCCTTCCGTGATCACTTCCCTACATCACCTGCATGGCGCACTGTGTGAGGCAGGTGTTACTGTTACCACTTCCAATTCACAGATAAGGACACTGAGGCCCAGGGAGATTACATTTCTGGCCCAAGGTTTCACTGAATGTGCGTGGCTATTTGAACCCAGGTTCTCTGGCTCCAGAGCTGAGGCCAAGCCCAAGCCCTTAGTCTCAGAGGTAAACTGCCAATATTTCTGGAACGTTGCCATGTATTTTGAAGGACAAAAGAACCTAAGCGTAAGATGGACTAGAAAGGAATCCGAGGACTATCAGGGCTCTGGCCTGGTCCTAGCCTCCCCTTCCTCCCCTGCCTATGGCCCCCTGGCCTGGGCTGCCCAGCTCACCTCACCACGGGCTCTGGAATGGCCTCTGCCCCAGCGGGCACCTGCACGCCTTTCTCCCATTCCTGTCGCCATGGGTCTGCCAGGATATAGTAGTCATCCGGGCTGAGCTGGTATGAGTCTGGTATCTTCATGGCTGTGATCAAGTCTGTCCGGAAAACCTGTCAGGAGCAAGGGTAGAGAGAGAATGGCTTCAGATTGCCTCTGGGTGGTCTCCTCCACAGGCCAGGGCAGGAAAATGCAAATGCAACTCAAGTGGGCTTTCTGCCCACTCACTATAAAATAAGAAGACAACACAAAAACAGTTGGTACAAGAGTGTATCTTCTCTGAACCCAGCACAGTGCTTTGTGCACAGATCTTCTATAAACATGTTGAATTGACTTCACATGTTCTGACCTGTTCGATGACAGAGTTTGAGTGATGGGTGGAAGTGGACCTCAGAGGGAAGAGGAAAGATTAGCTGAGAAAGGCAAAAATAGTGAGGAAAAATTAGATGGCAGAAGGGCTTCTGTGAATGCAATACTGCCATGGAGTGACTGTTCAGGGAATTTCTGTTGAGATTAAAAATTACACTTGTAGTTGTAACCACAGGCACAGGTGTAAAGGAGCCCAGGCAACCACATGCCAGGGTCTCATGCAAACAGCCGAGGGAGAGGCTGGGGTTTGGGGCTGCCTAGAGATCAGCTTCCCAATGGGTCAGGGTCTCCATGGTCCCTTAAGAACGAGGGCATCAAGCGCCTTGCTCTATGGGAGCTCTGAAGGACCAACCTGTGTGCAGTGGGGCAGGAGGAGCGTGTGGAATTCCTTCTCAGTCAAGCCCATCCAAATTCCCTCAGGGTCGGGCCGTGAGTGGACACAGCCTCCTGCTTTGGTTTTCTTCTGAGCACCTGCTCACTCTGGGGGAAACCGCTCTTCCCAGCGTTCTGTCTGCTGCCGCCACCTCCACCCTAGAACAACCTGCAAGCCCAGCCCCAGTGGCACTGACAATGCCTCGTCTGTTCTGGTTTGCTTGGTCTCACTGGGGCCCCCACGAAGGGCTGCTGTAGGGCTTGGTGGCAGCTCCAAAAACTATGCGACTTGCTTTGGTACCAACTTTCCCAGTGATTATCACATGAGAATCACAAGTTAAGGGAGAGGTCACATCATGGAGGTAAGAGAAATCACTTCAAGAAGTCCTCCAGGCCTCAGATCCAAGTCTAAAGCCCAAACCCTCTCCCGGGAAGAAGCAGCATCCACCAGCCTTCCGGAGGCTCATGACAAGTCATTCAGCGGTAACCTCTGCCTGCGGGAGGCCCCACTCACTGGCTGTGTGTCTCATTTGAATCTAGGGCTGTAACCACAAGGAAGCAACTGAAATGGGGGCACCAAGGGGGCTCAGGGAAGCATTTTGCAGAAATCTAATTAACGTCTGCATCTAGCTAGAGAGGGCCCTGGCTTGCAGAAGGTCAAGTTTCTTGAAGACTGTATTTGCCAATATAATTTAATTGTTAAGACTAACACCCTAACATTTAATTAGTGTGCCAGTGTGAAAAAATTAAAAGATTACGATTAAATGCTAATTAAACGGAAGATAAAATGTGGCAAAGATTTCACAGCCTTGATACTTTGCATATATTATTAGTGAGCAGCAAGAATACAAACTCAGGTACTGGGTGCATCTCTGGTGTCCTCTGACACCCTCCTTCATTGGCTGGGGCCTTTCCTAGCTGAGGCTTCTGCCAAGCCCAGCAAGGCTGAGGCTGGGTTATTTCCCTCTGGGCCCCAGAACAGGATGTGGCAGAGATGAACTGAACCCACAGTGGATTCATGACTGTCTCAAAGTTCTCCCAATCCTGGCAAACCACGTGGTACAACATCTAACACCATATTGCTCTGATGCCATGGGGAACCGCCCACCTGGGAAAGTCCGTTACCTCACCTCAGAAATCAACCCTTCAAGAGCGAAGTATCACACTATGCCCCGCTAAAAAGGCACAGGTGACTTCGAAACTTCTTGCTGTTCCCTCATCCTGAGCTATAGTTTAAGTGCCACCTCTGAGGATTCCTTCCCTGATCACCTGGAGCACCGACCACCTGACAGAGCCACTTTCCAGCCCACTATCCTGCCTCATCTCCCAGTACTTACACTCCTGAAAATTAACTGGTATACTCATGCTGCTTGTTTCTTGTCATCTCTCCTGCCACACCTGTCCTATTCTCTGCAGCATTCTTGGTGCTTGGCAAGTGACTGGCACATAGTAAGTACCCAATAAAGAGTGACTGAGTGGATAATTAAATGAATGAGTGAATTAAAGGGCCCCCCTGGGGTTACCTGATGAGCCTGAGGCCTCAGCTGCCTCCTCAGGCAATGCTTTTCAAGCCCCCACGAACGGGTTAGACACCTCATGGACATATCCAGAGCTGAAATAACCAAGCACGTGAACTGAACAGAGCAACAGACAGCAGGCAGAGACCATAGTGCCAAGTCACACCAGTTGGGGAGAGGTGGCCCTGACCTAGGAACAGGCTTGGAATTGAGAACTCAGAGCAGGAAGGAATCTCAGGTCAACTTAGTCAGGATGATTCAGGAGAGAGGGAAGAGTCTGGTCTCAAGAGAGTTCCAAGTTTCATCCAGAGTCACTCAGAGAGTAGGTGGCAGCCTGGACACCAGTGGCCCTTTCAGGCAGAGGACTGATGGATGGACAGGAAGGGCAACACTATCTTAAAGGTAACAGCCAACACTTAAAGAGCACTGTGACGCCAGCACCAGCCTAATGGCTGTTCTTGAATTAATTTATTATTAGTCCTCATACCAACTCTGTGAGGTGGGTGCTACCATCATCCACATTTTACAGTTGAGAAGCCAGGGACCCAGGTTAGTTTAACAACCTACACAAGGTCCTACATGTTGGAAGTAGCAAAGGAACCCAGACAGACAACTCCAGAACAATCCAGCACTCTCCCACAACCCCTGCCCTTCTTGGCCATCTGCTTATAGCCAATGCCCTTGAGTTAACCTAAAGCCAAATCAGGCGGTTTCCCCAAGGGCTGGAATATGTAAATCAAGTTCCAAGTCCTCCAGTGACTCGCCACTGTCTTCTCACTGCCCTCAGGCTGAGCTGCAGGGCCCACCAGTCCCTGTGGCCACACAGATGCAGTGGCAGTCTCCCTCCTGAATACTGTTCACCCTTGGCATGTGGGAGGACCCTGCCGGGACAGACACCATTCTCCCTGCCAAAGTAGGGGCAGCCTGTTTCACCCTTAGGGTCCTAGTCCAGTCCACATTTGATCTGGAAAACCTTCCTCTGAACTCCCACAGTCCCTGTATTAAAATCTCCTGGTTTCTTGCCATGTCTTCCCCACTCGAAGGTGAACTTGGTGAGGTCTGGCCAGGCCACAGGCTGCAGCAGTGCACACAGGGCCTGGTACATTCTAGGTGCTAATAACTAAGACTGAATGACTCAAGAGTTTCCCATGGACTTGCCACCACATTTCTGGGTAGCTGCTCAAGGCTACAGCTGGGTACTCTGTATCTCCCAAAGAAACCCCTGTACATTTAGATAAAACCTGTCAACAAATATGGCAACCCAATCATAACCCAAACATCTTTCAGTCTTGAACCGCGAAAGGTTCTGCTTGAAAAGTGCTCAGTTACTCTCCCAAAATGCCTTTGATTTATTTACAAAAACTAAACAAAGAATAAAATGGACACTGATGAACTGGAGGCCCTGCCATGGCAAGGAAGTTTAAAGTTGGAAAACAAGCAATTTTCGAAGAATGTGAATGTTTACTATTTTCCTTTTTTTTGGCAGAAATTGACAAATTGTCTTTAAAGGTCTGCTGCCTAGCAACCAAGTTCTGCTGAGCTGCTTGGGAGATGTTAATTGTAGCTTCTTCAACAGTATGAAGAAAGTTTAAAGATCTACAGCTCTAATTTAACAACCAGTGTGAGTGCCAGAGGTGCCAACACAGCTCTGAAGAGAGCTGAAGACCCTGCTCTGCACAGATGCAGCGACACTGCTCGTGGCTTGCACTCTAGCACCTTTCACCAAGACTGACAACCACAGCCATTGAAAAGTCTATCTAGCTTTCTGTACCTATCTCCCCAGGAAGAACCCAAACTGGGATCTGCCAGAAAGTATTAGTGGAGTCTGACATGATCTCCAAAAGCAAATAAAGATAATGACAACAGGCAACTTCCACTGTGCTTTGCTAAGAGCTCCTGTATATGATCGTAAGATTTATGCATCTTATTTGAATACTTCATCCTGGGATAATGGTTTCTGCTCCCTTTTCTCAAGGGTGAAATATTGTATCATAGTGTATTCAGACCAGGAGGCACCAAGAAGAAGTTCAATTACTTAAGGAAAAGCTTCAGCACTTAGCATAATTACAAAATATGATTATTTGTGTAATTATTTGTTTAATGTCCGTCTCCTCTAATAATTAAGCTGCAAGAGGCAGAGGATGGCATGTGTCCTGTTTATCATTGTGCCTGTTTGTGGCACAGTGTCTGGCACGTATCGAGTACTCAAAAACACTTGTGGAACAATGAGTGAGTGAGTGAATGAACTGCAGGATTTGTCTGAAGTATGACTAAACTCTGAAACTTCGAGGCACAGGGCTGATCCAAAGGGTTCTTCCAGGTGGATCTTAGAAACTGGTCTTGGTCACCGTCCCAAAGCCAATGAAAACAGCTTTGGCCCAGACTGCCTCTCCTTGACCTCTGTTCACATCAGAAGTCCCAATGCAAAGCCAGGAGTGGCTCCCTCTCTCTAATCTCCCAAAGGATGTTTGCAAGTCTGTCCTGAAACAGCCAAATAAAATTACTACCAGACACTTTTAAATCACAGGGTTTTTTTTTCCGAGGACTTCATTTCACGAGAAATAATAATAGTGAAAAGGAATTGCCCTGTTACAGGATGACAGGCACTGTGCTACATGTTTTATATACATAATCTCACCAAATTCATATTACCTCCATTTTACAGAGGTGGGGACTAAGGCTCAGAGAGGTTAAACCACTTGTCTGAGGTGTGCACTGTCCTTTAACCACTGCAATGCTGCCTGCAAACCAGTCAGCTATTTCTTCTTTTAAAAATCTTTCTTGGGTTGGAATCTGATAAAGAGTATCTCAGCCAAGAGCATATTTAGATACTTAAAATTAAGCGTAAAACACCA